ATATATAAATTACCTAACTAAAAAGTGTGCAATAGTACATGTTTGAAAATAAAAATGAATAAAAAAAAGTGTTCTACTGTCTGGGGTCTGCCATCAGGAGTTAAAGGGGATGTTATGTGAAATGTGACACACTTTTCTTTTTTTTATTGTTTTTACTTTTCACTTTTTTCCCTATGGTATTAAAAAAGGGGGAAGGGGGTTCAAACCTTTGTAACATTTTTCCTTGTATCCTTCCATGCACAAGCTAGTAATGGGCTTTTGGTCATTGACTTGCAGAAAGTTTTCTGCGCAAGTTAGCGTTAGAGCCTACTAGAATACAGGGGGGCGCCGACACTGATCATGCATACCACTCGGCAACAGTGGTGGAAAGAGTACCGAAAATTTGTACTTAAGTACAAGTACTGTTACATTGCTGAACTAATACTCAATTACAAGTAAAAGTACTGGTGTCAAAACAGTACTTAAATAAAAATACAAAGTACTCCTCTCAAAAACTACTAGTATTAGTTACTAGTTACTTTTTAGTCGGCGATATTTAATGAATTACCAAAAAATATTAATTCATACCAAAGATCTCTGTGGATAATAGCTACTTTGAACAAAACCCACTTTTATCGTATTGACAAAGTATGTGAATTAGTGGTCATGATAGAGAAATTTCTAACTTCAATAACTTGAAAAATATAAATATCAAAGTACCTGTGAACCAGAAGTTGCAACTGACTTCAGTGTTGTGATGTGTTTCCAAGTGAAACAGAATATTGAATAAAGGGCGGGGTTTTATTGTGGTGCACCTCCACTCCATCTCTTGTTCATAGCAGATTCACGGTTGGATAGGAGTGGTTAAGAATAGGCTTGTTTGAGATTTGCCTCGCCTCGCCTGAAATGTAGGCAAGAGTAGGTGGCTGCAGTGAGGGGAGGAGTGAAATAAGCGCAGTCAAGACGGACAGTTCTGACCTCTCGAAGTGAACAGATCCCTACGAGATCAAAGGCAGATATCGCGTTATTCTCACTCATGTGCTGTGCTGTTGATTAACATGATATAATTTCAGTTCTGTTGCCTTTATATAAAAATAAATAAGATGAACAAGACACTCAAAGTGCTTGCTATTTAATTCCATATGAAAGGCGTATTTATCATTCATTTTTTATAGAAATATGACAACAATCACATATCTCACATAGAGATCGCACATCGCAGCACCACCATTAAAAAAATGTTAACTATTAAAAAATGTATAAAACTTTAAGAATATTTTCTGTTTAAAAAAATGAAATATTTATGCTAAATGTAATCATATAAATAAAAATATAAATATTTTAATATCAGACATCTAGTTTAGTTTGGACCAATCTCTACTATAAAACATTGCACATTCAAGAAAATTATTAAATTCAGCTGTTGTTTGGCTATTTGGTACCTTTTGAGGCAAGATGCGTTATTTTTTCATGATTGGTGGTGCAAGAAAAAATTATTTATTGTTATTTCCTGAAGTTTTGTTTTATTTTGGTTTTAAATCCAGTTCAGCACTGTACACCACCATTGTCATCATAACTTTCCAAATGTCACCACCTGAAATTCTGTTGTGTTGTGATCACCTGATTTCATAACCCTATTCAATATTTGATGAGGCACCGTGGTAGAGCAAAGGTGAGTGGTCTGCTGGTTTCAGAATTAGGATGCATTTTGCCTGGTTTAGTTGCAGCATCCTTTGAAAGCAGTGTAAATCTGGACGGTATGAAGAGGTCGCATCCTACCACATCAATCTTGTTTTCCGACGGTGAGAAAGTCGGTGACTGAGTGTGAGAGATCAAGTGTGCCATACAGATGAGTTGTAATTGTTCACAGAAAGCGCTGTGGAAACCAGCCACAGACCTCAAACTGTCAATCAAAGCTCTCACTTCCTCTGAACTCCTTCCCAGGGTCCCCACTGGGCCACTATGTGTGACGCTAGAACATCAGTTCTGTGCATGTTGGTTGCGGTGTATTTGTTGTGAATTTCAAGTAACTGCAGCAAAGTGTGTGCTGTACAGTATGTCCATCCTTGCTGGGCCACTGCTGGTGTACGACGAGCAGGACCACACAGAATCTGCCGCCACAGAATTGGAACGCCTGTGATCTGCTGAGTTCTACACATTTGGGTGACACTGCTTTCAACTGCCATTTTGATTGTAGTGCTCTCGGTTTAAAGGAAGTTTTATTTTTAAAGGAACAGTTCACCCTGATTTTTTTTTTTTTTATCGTTTTTTATCCACATATCGTTTCAAGCCTGTATGACTTTCTGATGTCTGCAGAAACCAAAGAAGGTATTCAGAAGAATGTTTCAAATGCTTCGGTGCGTCTGACATTGTTGCGCTCTAGCCGAGGTTAAACAGCTGTGCCTCAATACTATGATCAGAGCAATAATGAATGAGAGCCATATCAATTATTTGAGCTGTGGGAGCCGAGGGCTTGTTCGGGAAGAGAATGGTAAACACAGGCAGGGGAGAAAGAGAATGAGTGCACTATCTCTGCGCTTTCCACACAGAAAAGCATCTTTGTGAATGATCACTGCGCTCCTTGCAGCATTGGGCTGACCTTTGACCTCATTCAGACACACTTCCTGTCACTGAATAGCTTGTCATGTGTTAGAGTGGTTTTTATTCTGAAGATATTGTTGAAGATTGTGTCCTAATGTTTGCAGATTGCTTGTCAGTGATATAGTTGTAAACCAGATGACAGCTGGGACAAGCACATTTGACACTGGACACAGCAGATTCTTTGATTTTCCCAGTTTGTGTTGATTCGTATTAAACATCGGGACACAGAACAAAAGCCTTTAGTTGTGAAGTCATGACCGCTTCACTTATTGACTAGCAGAGGTCAGCTTTTTCCTTTCACTCAATTAGAATCTGTGTCATATTTATTCATGTGTACCGAATCACTTCAATCAGCTGAAAAATGGCCATTGAGTAGCATCTAAATCAACTGGTTTGAAGTCCAAAATTGTATTTAATATGATTCAGTTAATATAAATACACTAGGTTATACCAACTGATGTGATCAGACACATTTTCAGAGATCAGTTGAATAATTTGAGTGAAGCTGAATCATATTTCACCTCTCATCTTCACAGAGCCATGTGGTGGGCATTTGGATGCCAGTGACGCAGGATACATCACCACACCCGGTTACCCGCTGGAGTACCCGCCCCACCAGAACTGTCGATGGGTAATCACGGCACCCGAACCATCCCAGCGTATCGTCCTAAACTTCAACCCGCACTTTGAGCTGGAGAAACTGGACTGCAGGTGAGCAGAAAAGGTTCTGAGGCTACATGTAGCTGAAGATTGATTAAGAAGATATATGTAGAAAGAAACTATATATTCATAACCATATGATGAGGACGAAACTGAAATAAAGAGGATAAGTTTGTATTTCATACACCCAAGAGGCGACAAGGCAATCTTGTTAACTTTCTTTTATATAATGAATAGTATTTTATTAATTCTGCTGCTTAATATGCTTCTTTAAAAAACTTGTTGATTCAGAAAAGACTGCTGATGTTTCTTGCTTAGTGATTATTGGAGCCTTCCTGTGATGCCCTGCTGAGTCTGGCTCTTACACACACACACATTACACACACTCTCTTCACTTTAATTAAATATCCAATAAACAAAGCTTTGACACACATTTCTGGGAATCATGAAAACGTCCAGGCTTGCGCTCTGCATGTGTTTCACCTACAGCTGCGCTGACTCCTCCCTCTATTGGACAGCAGTAGAAATGCATGGAACGTGGTCAGGATTATAACGGTACATGGAGTTTCACTGTATTTGTTTTAAAGCGTGATTCGTAAAGTGGGACGAATTCGAGGGGAATTAGCGGTCGCTAGTGAAGACTTTGACATTCATGAGTCATGTTTTACAAACCCTTCTCAGCAGAGCCACAAAGCCTGTCACAACCTGCCACTTCCAGCTTCTCTCACTCTTCTCAATGAATATTGTCCTTTGTCCTTTTGGCATTTATTATCCTGTGATGCCCTGCTGAGTCTGGCTCTTACACACACACACATTACACACACTCTCTTCACTTTAATTAAATATCCAATAAACAAAGCTTTGACACACATTTCTGGGAATCATGAAAACGTCCAGGCTTGCGCTCTGCATGTGTTTCACCTACAGCTGCGCTGACTCCTCCCTCTATTGGACAGCAGTAGAAATGCATGGAACGTGGTCAGGATTATAACGGTACATGGAGTTTCACTGTATTTGTTTTAAAGCGTGATTCGTAAAGTGGGACGAATTCGAGGGAATTAGCGGTCGCTAGTGAAGACTTTGACATTCATGAGTCATGTTTTACAAACCCTTCTCAGCAGAGCCACAAAGCCTGTCACAACCTGCCACTTCCAGCTTCTCTCACTCTTCTCAATGAATATTGTCCTTTGTCCTTTTGGCATTTTGGAACTATTAATTATACATAGAAGTGTTTTTAAAGAGAGATTTATGGGATGGCTTTTGACATTCCTTTGTTGAAATTGGAGCATTAATTTTTCAGAAGCTTTTGTTGAAAGTGTCTTCACTGAGCACTTCCAGTGAGCACAGCAACAGAGAGAGAGAGAGATCAAAAGACAGAGACAGGAAAGTCTGATATGTGTTTCATTCCAGCACTTTGCTTACCCCTTAGTGGTTTGTGCACGGGATAGTACTGTTGTTATTTTCATCTCTCTTTCTCCCTCCACCCTTGGCTTGATTGACAGAAAATGCGGCATGTTCCATTACGTCACACATCCTTTTCCGTGCTTTCCTCCCGCAGGGGATTTCTTTGCGCGTCCATTAGTATACAGAACTCCATATTGAATCAGACACATTGCTACATTTGGAAAAGAGGAAAGTGGACAGTTTCCCGGTAGTTCTCAGTTTAACACAACCAGTTCTAAGACTTAAAACAGATGTCTCTTTTTTTTTTTACCTTCCATCTTCGCTCCCATCTGCTGCTCCGCTACAAATGTTCAGTCAAGATTTTATGTCTTTTGAAAACAATGTGAGTGCTGTTTGTGTGTGCCAAAGTAACCACGACGATGCTAGGGTGTTGTGGGTGGTTACCAGGCTGTCGTTATGTGGTTGCTAAGGTACTCTGAGTGGTTTATAGCGTGTTGCAGTGTGATTGCTATGTTGGTTATATGTTAGTTATCATGAACTAACATTTTTATAATGTGCATTAATCTATGTTAATGTTTAAATTATGAAAAAAAAAAACATTTTATAAATATAAATAGAAACATAAATGATTATATTTTGATTATATATGATTATATGTGTTTAAAATATATTATAATATTTAATGCAATTAAATATAATATTAATTTATTGTATATATATATATATTGTTATTTTTTTTTAAAATGAATTAAATACATATTAATTGATTAAATAAGTTGTTATATTAAATTATATTTAAATATCTAAAATATATTGAAAATTTATATTTTTTAACTTGTTTTTACAAGTTCTTGTAAAGTGTTATTTTAAGCTGATCCTCATCCTGACCCTGTTCTCTACATCTCTTTCTCTCTTTGAAGCCCTTTGACCATTTAAACCACATAAAGGTTAAGTATTGTTATTTACAGCCTATGATTTCAGTGTAGTACACAAAGATGGTGAAATCAAATGTTAAGCCTGATCTGTAGGCCTCATAAATTCACAAATTATACATCAGTCTCTTCTGTTTAACTTAAAGCCAGACTCTTCTCGGTTAAAATCATCACCCTAGCTCTTTTGTTTCTTTAAACTCCCTGACTTGTTCCCTGCTGTTTTTTTTTCTAGCGATTGTTGTTTTTGTCCCTTGGCCAGGCAGATGAATTAAGGACAAAGTTGGGACTTTTGAGTTCTGTTGGGGAGTTGAAAATGCCTAGTTAAACACAAGCACTTCTTTAATAAGTCGTAAAATTATCTATCCATTAACATGCTTAAACAGCCACCTCTGATTCTTGCCTTAGCTTTGCAAGACAAAACTGTCACGTAGCTCACATATTTGTGAAGAGGACAGATCGTTTAATGGTGTTGTCGAGACTTACAGACCCAGGGCAGGGTGGAGTGAAGAAGACTTGAACATTTTAACATTTGATAATTTCTGATGAGAATAACATTTAATAACAGCTCTTATTATGGGTGGGTGCAGTATTAGTGCTGTATGTATCATACGCTCTCACCCTTCACACATATTGTGGTATAGACACTTTGGGAAGGCTATTAATTTGATCTATGTTGATACTGAGTAACAGCTCAGTATCTTTCCATTGGACACCAACCTGGCTTAATTTATTTAACCTAAAGCGTTTTCCCTGTCAGATATGATTATGCAGCTCAGGGATCATATCCAGGCATCTCAGTCCTAACTGACAGATGTTTATATGCACACATGCTGAAACCTGGCTGTGCTACAAGGTTTCCCCTTTGACCTCATGAAGTTTAGTCTGCTCATCTGCTACCACACCCTTATGTTTCATCTTTCAACCCATTTCTCCTTCAACTCTGTCATAACCTTCCTTTTTCATCCATTCTTTCCTCCTTGGTCTGTAATTCTCACTCCTCCTCCACCCATTTCAAAAGGCAGCTCTTATATGAATTTCCATACTGGTCTAGGCTAGTTTGGTGCTGGTTGATCAGTATAACCATTGGTTGGCTCGAAGTTGGTTTACAAACATTGTTTTTCTAGTAAAGCTAGTTGACTGAGGACTGGTTAGTCTAGTTAAAAATCCTGGTACATGCAAAACACAATGAGATCCAGTAATGTTGGTTTCTCTCTCCTTCCATTTCCCGCTCACTTGATCCCTCTTTCTTCCCCCCCCATACATAGTGTCTGATTAAAATGACTCATCTCCCAAGGCACGGCCCATTCTCAGCATTGCTTTATTCGACATTCCCTATTCAGCTCTCTCTCTCTCTCATCACACATAGATGAAGTAAACAGTGTTGATAGTCCAGTCCACAACCACTGTCACTGCAAACACTTCCTCCACAGATTTTCCAGTGCTCTGCAGAGACGGTGGGCTCTCAAACAGTTGTTACTAAAGCAAAGGATGCCACTTTGGAGGCAGTACCTCTTTCCAAAACCTTGACAGGCATCCAGTGTTTAGAGCAGCATGGGACACTCAACTCACAACTGATTTTAGTAGAATCTGAAGTTAGCATGTTGCTAAGCCAACATTGTGATACTCTAATAAGCATTGCAATAAAGAGCACACAATATACAATAAAAACTGATTTATTATCATCAATGCTTTTAAGACTTTGTAACTTTAACAAAAGTTGTTGTTGTATTATGTATTATATTTATTACTTATTAAATCATTCTTATTGTATTAAATGTATTTTAGGTATATTTTAGATATAATAGATAGATATGAATTATTATCGCAGTGCCTTTTCTGTTATGGATACATGCAGTGATACCTAGGAATTTGGACAAAAGAAGATATTTTAGAGGACAGTACAATTGTTTTCCGAGATAAAGTGAGCTGACTGTAGTCAGCATCATAAGTGCACTAATTATCCTGCCTACCTTTTGGAACAGACCTTGTGTCTGTAGCTCATCTTTAAATTGTTTTGGAACACAGCCATTAGGTCAAGAAAAGGATGAGTAGAAAAAGATGAGAGGAGAGAAGTGCACCATTTATTCTCCTATTGCCAGAGAGTGTGATAAAATCCAGAGCACTCTGGCATATCAGTTGGATGACAATGACCAGATGCAATGCAAAGCAAAAGAAAAAAAAGTAAATCTATCAAAGTTTACAGGTCCAGCTCAGTGCTTACACGATAGACACCGGTTTCACATGCTTCATTCGAATTCACCGGATTGTTCCACGACTTCTTGGCACAGCATCAGATGTGCCCCGCTCCTAAAAGTTATAAATAGGTTATTGTGGAATAAATATAATAAGCATGTGTTGATTTATCATGATATATCTGTAATGCAATCAGCAAAGCTGCTCGACTGAATGACATTGGTAAAGAAACAGGGTTGGGCAGGTTGAAGTCATGGTTCTCTCTATCTCCTTTACCACTCTCTTACTCTATCCCTCTTTCATCTTTATCTGTTTTTCTCCTTCCCCACTCTTTACACTTTCTTTTCCGCCCTCTGGCACAGTATTCCAGTTTTTGACATCATCTAATCACCATATTAATACACAAGGAATGTATGTTCTGTTCTCCTCCATCCCGGGGATTTTATTAATTCAGTGATAACATTCCCAAGGCTTCCAGACTGTGGAATCAACATTTGACATGTTTTATATATATATATATAC